CAAATCTTCTGGCTAGCCAGGCATGATCATTTAGTCCTTTCAAGCTGGGAACTATTCTGTTCTCCTCTGATTTGCAATGTGTTGCCAGAAAGCAACATTTATTAGTCAGTCAGCTGGCGCTCACTCAGGAACCCAAGAACTTTCTGGATCACTGGTCACTGTTCATGTACCTGTGCTCAGGTAGCTAGGAATTAGAGATTCAGTTTCAGGCTTACCTAGGTAAGCACATGTTCTTGATACCATGTGCTTATAATCACCGTTGCTGTTGGGAGAAGATGAAAAAATCCTTTGTCCTCCATATCTAGGAGTCCAACATACACGGAGCAGTGGCTAACTTCTAAGAAAAATGCAATCAAAAGAAGGAGTAAAAAAGAGAAACAAGGCCTCCTTTCTCCTCAGTTCCCTTTATAACTTCCTGAATGGTTGCTTTTTGCTGGCCCATTCACTAAACAACTTGGATGTAACCCCTGTCCCAGCAACCAAGAGAGAAATCAGGAGTTGCCAGGTCATGCCTGTCCTTAAATCAAAGGGGCAAAATACACGGACAGAAATAAGGCCAAAGAAGACACAAGTATTTGGGGAGAGATGTCTCAGATTGGAAAATCTGAAAAGGTAGGTTTTTATTTTATTTTTAATCTCATAGCCAGTGGAGTTTTTGTTTTCCCCAGTATCTTCTGAGACTTGATCATGCATTACATCAAGGAATCTCTACCCAGGAAACATGGTAGCCACATAGATGATTAGCTTTGATAATCATGGTAAAGTGAATAGAATAGGGCATTCTTATTTCTGTGAAAGATATAGGAAAAAGATATTTAGATTATGATAATTGCTTACATTTATAAAGCATTTTATGATTGCAAAGTGTTTTCACATGCATTATCTTGCTTGTCCCTTACAACAACACTTTCAGGGAGGTAGTATAATTACTATTATCCCTTTTTATGCCCTCTCCCTACCACCTACCATATTCTCTTTGATCCAATGACACCGGCCTCCTTGATGTTCCTTGCACTAGCCACCCCTTCCCCTGTGTCTGGGCATTTTCACTTACTCTTCCCCCTACCCCCATGTTTTCCTTTTCTTTGTTAGTCCTCTACTCAATAAACTCCAGTGGCTCCCTATCACCTTTAGGATCAAATATAAAATGTTCTATTTGTCGTTCAAAGTTCTTCATAACCTAGCCCCCACCTACTTTTCCAGTCTTCCTACACCTTACTCCCCAACATGTACTCTTAAATCTAGTGACATTGAACACTTGGCTGTTCTACAAACAAGACATTTTATCTCTTGGCTCCAGGCATTTTTCTCTGGCTGTCCCCCATACCTGGAATTCCCTCCCTCCTCTGCTGACTTCCCTGGTTTCTTTCAAATTTCAACTGAAATCCCATCTTCTATAGGGAAGTCTTTCCCAACTCCTCAAAATTCTAGAGCCTTTTCTCTCAATTATTCTTCCTGTATATAACCTGTTTGTATATATCTCATTAGGTTGTGAGCTCCTTGAGGGCACTGACTGTTTTTTGCCTCCTTTTGTAGACCCAGTGCTTAAAACAGTTCTTGGCACATAGTAGGCGCTTGGTAAATGCTTGCTGACTGTTGACTGACTGACTGACATGGATTTAATTGAATCTTTACAATTGTACCTGGTCCAGAAAATATAAGATCCCACGATGTTTATTGTTTGATGTGTATTAAAAAGGGCAGCTAGGTGGCACGGTACACAGAGTGCTGGGCCTTGAGTCAGGATTCATCTTCCTGAGTTCAAATCTAGTCTCAGACAGTTACTAACTGTGTGACCCTGGGCAAGTCACTTAACCTTGTTTACCTCTATAAAATCTATAAAATGAGCTGGTAAAGGAAATGGCAAACCAATCCAGTATCTTTGTCAAGAAATCCCCAAATAGGGTCACAATGAGTTGGATATGACTGAAACTGAACAACAATAACAAGCATGATTCACAGAGCAAAATGCAGTCTTAACGGTATTTCTCATATGTATTTTAAGATCATTCAAGATTCTTTGACAGAAGAAATAAAGATAATACCTATTTGATGATTTATCAACAGCTGTCACTTGAATCAAGGTATTAAACAAGGACTGGGTGCTTGAAAAAGGTGTTCACTACTGCTATGATTTTCCAATGAAGAGTCCAAATGGAAAAGGGATTTCCTGTAGATGATGACATCTTCCAGTTGCTTAGTGGATGACATTTTGCTGATTGTATCAAGCCCCAGAATACTAGAGAGTATCCCAAATAAATTTTACAAGGACTAAAAAGAGTTCTGTCTCACAACACATGTAAGAAAAACCAAGTGTATAAAGAATGCCTGTTATTCAAGCTATGATATGTAGTTGAAAGAACAGACCATTAAGCTGATCCATCAGTATATAAGTCTTGGACAGATATTGTATAAGAACAATAACTTGTGCCCAGAATTATATAGAAGGAAGAGTTCAAGCTGGATTGCATTGAAGAAATTGAGCATTGCTTCCAACAAGCCCAAAGCTCCTTCCTGAAACAAAAATCCATATTTCTAATACCATTGTTCTTTAGGTGGTACTAGATTCAATGTGGTGAGAGGACATTTCCAGGCTAAGAGCATTTTAGAAAGTTTTGATTAGAGATCTGGAGTAGCTACCTCAGCTTTCCTGATAAAGAAAGAACCTGGAGCTGTGTTCTGGAAGAGCTTCCCGAGCATTTTGATTTTCCTCCCTCTGGAATAAATTTGTCACTTTTCAGAAACTAGGGAAAATTATTTTATTCTTCATTTTAATAAGCACTGAATGACTTCAGGATCAGGTACTGTCATTGTCAAGAATATCGAAATGAATAAGGTCTGATCTCTGCTCTCAGGGATTTCATAAAATAATTTGCTATATTAACCACAAAGTGCTACAAAAGTGTGAGCTATTATTATTAGCTACAGGATAGAATGTGGTAAAAACATAAGAGATGTAGAAAGTACCCTAGGAATTTAAAAGATGAGATTGCTAGGAGGATGGTATCTATATCCAGAGAAAGACCTGATAAATTGAAGTATGTATAGAATGATTATATATATATACATATGTGTGTATATACGTATATATGTATGTATGCATGCATACATATATATATACATATTTGTGTCTAACAGTAGCCATCTCTGGGGGGGGGGGAAACACATGATAATGATTATATATTTAAAAAGGAATAGTAAGTTGCACATAATAGATTTGTGGTTTCATGTGCAATCATCTTTTTTTTATTATACTATGTCATGGAAATGCTTGCTTTATTCCATAAATTAAAAATAAATAAAATGTTTTTAAAAAGATGAGATTCTTCCTGGATAGAGGTGATAAAGTAAAGGGCCAGAGAGCTGGTGGTGTTTTAGCTGGGTTTTGAAAGATGGATGAGATTTCAACACTTTGGGATGATGATGCACTAAAAAAAATAACAAATTAGAGACAGCCTAGCAGTGTGGATAGAGAGCAGGCTTGGTACAAGAAGACCTGGATTCAAGTGCCACCTCTAAAATATACTGTCTATGGGCCAGTTTCTGGACAAGTTGCTTAAACCCCTCAGTGCCCTAGGTAAAGCTAGGTAAGGCTTAGACGCTAAATGCAGAGAAAGTGCTTACTTAACGTTCACAGAGGCAGTTTCCTCATCTACAAGGTTCCAGTATCACTGAAATCACAGGCTTAGTCCCTACTGCTTTATCTATCAGTTGAATATTCTCAAATTTGCCTATTACCTTAGGGCTTACAGAACACTTTCTTTATAACAGCCTTGAAAGGGGCAGCTGTTATTATCCCTATTAAATGAATGAGGAAACGTGTTCAGGATTACATAGCTACTAAGTGGCAAGGGCTAGGGCTTGAACTTGGTCTCTTCAGGACTTTCTACATGATACCATGTAGCCTCCCAAGAATATATAGGAAATGGTGTGAGCAGAGGCTCAGAGGTAGGAAATGCACAATATGCTGGGGCAAAGGCAAATAATCCAGTAGTGTTAGGATGGAGGATAAATGATGGGGACTAGTAAATCAGGAAAATAAGTCTGGAGCCAGATCATGAAGGGCCTTGAATGCCAGAGTAAGGAATTTGACTTGAGAGTCAACATGGTGTAGGAGATTGAGCGCTGGACTTACAGCCAAGAGGGCCTCAATTTGAATGACCTCAGATAGTCGTGTGACTGTGAGCAAGTCACTTAAACCTCTCAGGGCCTCTATTTCTTCATCTGTAAACTGAGGAGTTGGGCTCAATAACATCTAAGGTCTCTTCCACCTCTAAATCTATGATCTTATTAATTCATAGGTGAGGGTAGGGATGAGGGCGGGGAGGGAGGTGAGGGGGGGAGAAGACAACTACAGGATTTTGAGCAAAAAAGTGACATGAACAGAACTTGTTGTTTAGTTATTTCAGTCTTGTCTGACTCTTTGTGACCCCTTTTGGGGTTTTCTTGGCAAAGATATTGGAGTGATTTGTGATTTCCTTCTCCAGCTCATTTTACAAATGAGGGAACTGAGGCAAATAGAGTTAAGTCACATAATAAGTGTCTGAGGCCAAATTTGAACTCAGGAAGATGTCGTTCTGACCACAGGCCCAGCATTCTACCCACTGTGCCACCTAGCTGCCCCATGAATAGAACTATAAATTGTAAAAAGTAGTCTAACAACAATAAGTAGGATGGATGGTGGAAGGAAGGGACCAGAGGCAGAGAGAGCAGTTAGGAATTTAATGATCCCAGATAAGAAGTAATGGTGACCTGAGTATTGTGTCAGAAATGAAAATGGAAGGGAGAGAGCCAGAGGAACCGGCAGACTCTAGCTCCAAGAACTACCACATGCTTCAGTATAGCCCTGGGCCAGCAGGCTTTCTCCAGCATGTAAAGAAAGTAGCCCAGACCTTCACGTGCTCCAAAACAGCCCAGGGCAAACAGGCACCCTCTTGCAGCCATACCTCTAGGTGGTTCAATGTAGTGCTGGGGAAATGCAGAAAACCCCAACTAGCCTCATGAGCACATGCCAAACACCCCCACTTGGACTCCAGCTCGGGCACCGGGTAAGCTGCCAGACCCCTATGGCCTCCAGCAGCACCAGCTCCCCATCCCCTCAACACAGCACCAGACTGCACAGTCCCTGTGGGCCTCAGGGCAACATCAGTACAACACCGGGTGAACAGCCAGGGCCTGCAGCTGGAGACAGTGCCACTTCCACCTTGAAAGCAGAGTTCAAATTTAAAAGAAAGAAAAAAGGCAAAAAAAAAAGTGGGGAGGCGGGGAGCAAAAAACAACAACAAAAAGAATCTGGCCATAGAAAGCTGTCATTGTGACAAGGAAGACACAAACTTACAAAAGGGCAACAATGTCAAAACACCTATGGACAAAATCCCAAAGAAAAATAGGGGTTTTTGAGAGCAGGTTCTTGAGACCAGGAAGTGGTCTCAAGCCCAGAAAGAACTTATAGGAGAGCTCAAAAAGGAGCTTAAAATCATATAAGAGGGGTAGAAGAAAAATTGGGAAAAGGAATGAGAGAGATATAAGAGAATTATCAAAAAAGAGTCAAAAGCTTGGAAAACTGCTTAAAAAGTAGAATTGGCCAAATGGAAAAGGTGGTGCAAAAATCCACTGAAGCAAACAACTCCGTAAAGAGTACAATTGGCTAAATGGAAAAGAAAGTACAAAAGCTAATTGAGGAAAACAACACCTTAAAAATTAAAATTGGGCAAGTGGAAGCTAATGACTCTGTGAGACAACTAGAATCAATAAAACAAAATCAAAAGAATGAAAAAATGGAAAAAAAAATGTAAAATACCTCATGGGAAAAACAACTGACCAGGAAAATAGATACAGGAGAGACAATATCAGAATCACTGGGCTACCTGAGAGCCATAATCAAAGGAGGACCTGGACGGCATCTTTCAAGAAATTATAAAAAATAAATAAATAAACAAATAAAAGAAATTATCAAGGAAAATTGCCCTGATATCCTAGAACCAGAGGGCAAAACAGGCATTGAAAGAATCCACCGATCAACTCAGCAAAGAGATTCCAAAATGAAAACTCCAAGGAACATTATAGCCAAATTTCAGACAGGACAAGGAAAAATTAATACAGTGTCCAGAAAGAAACAGTTCAAATATAGGGGGGTCATAATCAGGATCATGCAGGACCTGGCAGCTGCAACATGAAAGGATTGGAGGTCATGGAACATGATATTCTGGTAGGCAAGGGACTACAGCTAAGAATCACTTACCTGGCAAAATTGAGCATAATACATCAATGGAAAAAATGGTCATTCAACAAATAGAAGGATTTTAAGTTTTCATAAGGAGAAGACCAGAACTAAATCTGACCTCCATTATCAAGACTCAAGAGAAACATAAACATGTAAAAAGGGAAAAGAAAACATACGGGATTCAATAGAGCTAAACTATTTATATCCCTGCATGGGAAGATGATATTTGTAGTTTCTAAAAATTGTATCACTAATAGTACAGCTAGAAGGAATATACATCAATAAACAATATGGGGTATGAGGTGAATTTGAGGGAATGACATAAAAAATAAAAGGATAAGAAAGAGGAGTACAATGAGTGCAGAAGGAGGGAGAGATAGAATGGGGTAAATTGTCTCACATGAAGAGGCACTAAAGATCTACTATAGTAGAGGGGAAAATAGGAGGGTAGGTGATGAGCATTGCTTGAACCTTATTCTCATCAGTATTGACTCAAAGAAGAAATAATATACACAATCAGTTGAATATAGAAATCTATCTTAAATGACAGGGAAATAGGAGGGGACGAGATCAAGTAAGGGGGGATGGGGACTCACAAAAGGGAAGGTCAGGGGAGGTGGTAGACAGAAGCAAAACACTGGTGAGGAGGGAAAGAATGAAAGGAGAGAGAGCACAGACAGGAGGAAGAATAGGATGGGGGGAAATACAAAGGTATTAATCATACTGTGAATGTGAATGGAATGAACTTTCCCATAAAACGGAAGTGGATAGCAGAGTGGATCAAAAACCAGAATCTTACAATATGTTAGGAATAATCTATCTGCCAAATCTATGGTGAGTTGAAAAATTCACGGCCAAAGAAGAGATAGAGAACATTACAACATGTAAAATAGATATTTTGATTATACTAAATCAAAAAGTTTTTTTATGCAAACAGAACCAATGCAATCAAGATTAGAAGGAAAGCAGAAAGCTGGGAAACAATCTCTACAGCAAGTATCTCTGATAAAGGCCTCATTTCTCAAATATATAGAGAACTGAGTTAAATTTATAAGAATATAAGCCATTCTGCAGTTGATAAATGGTCAATTGAAAACAGGCAGCTTCCAAATGAAGAAATAAAAGCTGCCTGTAGGTATATGATGAAGTGTTCTAAATCACTTTTTATTAGAGAAATGCAAATTAAAATAACTCTGAGATACTACCTCACACCTATCAGATTGGCTAATATGACAAAAAACAAAAATGATAAATGTTGGCGAGAATACGGGAAAATTGGGACACTAATGTACTGTTAGTAGAATTGTGAACTGATCCAACCATTCTGGAGAGCAATTTGCAACTATGCCCAAAGGTCAACCAGACTGTGCATACCCTTTGATCCAACAATACCACTATTAGGTCTGTATCCTAAAGAGATAAAAAAGAGGGAAAAGGACCTACATGTGCAAAAATATTTATAGCAGTCCTTTTCATGGTGGTAAAATATTGGAAATTGAGATGATGCCCATCAATTGGGGAATGGCTGAACAAGTTGTGGTATATGAATGTAATGAAATACTATTGTGCAATAAGAAATGATGAACAGGCAAATTTCAGAAAATCCTGGAAAGATGTGTATGAATGGATGCAAAGTGAAATGAGCAGAATCAGGAAGACACTGTACACATTATCAACAACATTGTTTGATAATCAACTATGAATGATTCAGCTCTTCTCAGCAACACAATGACCCAAGACAAGTACAAAGGACTAAGGAAAATGTGATCTATATCCAGATGAAGAAATGATGCACTCTGAATGCAGATCAAAGCATTTTTTTTTTACTTACTTCATTCTTCCTCATAACTTTTCCCCCTTTTGATCTGTTTCTTCTGTCACAACTGTGACTGATATGGAAATATTTTTTACATAATAGCACATGTATAAACTATATCAAACTGCCTACCATTTTCAAAAGAGGAGAGAGGAGGGATGGGAGGGAGGTAGAACGATTTGGAACTCAAAATTTTATAAAAATGAATGCTAAGAATTTTCTGGACATGTAACTGGAGAAGAAAATAAAATACTGTTAAAAAAAAGAAAATGGAAGGGAAAGAATGTGTTTAAGACACATTGGAATAATAATTGCAAGGATTTAGTGACTGGTAATATATGAGGTCCAAGGAAAGGGAAGTACCAAAGATAACTTCTATTTGATAACCAAGAAAATGGTGGTAATTGACAGAAATAGAGACATCAGTAGCAGGTTGGAGGGGAAGATAATTTCGGATTGGGATATTTTGAGTTTGAGGTGCTGATGGAGAACCAGAGGAAGATACCTAATTTCTCACTAAGAGAAATAACACAGGTTTGTTTATTGTTTAGAGACACTGGCACCATTAGTAAACATTTTGATCCATTTTGTCAGCTTATTCTTTGCTTTTCACATTAGTGAATGCTATGGATTAAAGAACATCGTTAATGAGACAATTTGAGAGACAGGTCCAAGAATAAGGATGTTCGTTCACCTCAGGGAGACTTAAGAACTGGGAGTTCTTTCACTTGTCTTCACCATTACTGTCATCAGCATTTGGAGCTTTAAATATATATGGGCAGCATGAATTCCTTTAGTCCTCATTAATCTGTGTGTCTAGAAATTCCTCTGGCTTTTGTTTCTTCAGATTTAATATATCTTTTTTTACATTAACAAAAAGTTTTTTTTCAATTATCAACTATTTCATTGTTTCTCTTCCACCTCCTCTCACCATCCCTCTCCCACTGGGGAGGGGGAAGAAAAGAAAAGTAAAACTTTTATAAGGGGGTAAGTATAAAAAAAGAAAACACATTCCCTAACTGTCTACGTCCAAAAATCTGTGTTTCATAGTCAGCCTGTCAGGAGATGGGTAGCATTCTTCATCATTGGTCTCTGGACTCATGATTGATCATGGTGATTGATCATGGAGTTTGTAAGTCTTCCAGAATTATTTGGTTTTACAGTACTGATGTTATAGTATAAATTGTTTACTTGGTTCTGCTCACTTCACTCCACACCAGTTTATACACATCTTCCCAGGTTTCTCTGAAATTGCTTCTTCATTGCTTACAGCACAATAATATTCCATTACATTCATATACCATAATTTGATTTCCCTTATCTAGTCAGCCTTGCTTGCTTCCTGTGAGAAGCCTCATGATTCTCCTGAAGATTTAGGCCTCTGATTTCTGAACTCCAGTTTCTGACTTTGGCCACCCAACAAGTTTTCCCTGTCCTGCTCTTCTGACTCCATGATTGCCACATCAAGATTTCTTTTCTTTCCTGACACTAGGGCAGGGTCTGAATAAGACAGAAGGGTTCTTCCCAGTGTCCCATAGATGTTCAAAGGTTGATGCAAAATACTAGAGATCCTCAGGTGACAATTTCCACATGAGCCAGGGTGCTGAGGAGAATTCTGGTTTTATGAATAGGGAAGCTATTGGGAGGGGCTTGACAGGATAGCTAAGAGACAAGCCTCATACGATTGCTAACATATGTCTCTGGGGAAGCCACTGCCCTGCTTAATCAATAAGTCCACAAGCATTAAGTGTTTGTTATGTACCAGACATTGTGCCTTAGGAAAACAAAGAATAAATGAATCACTGTCCTCTAGGAGGGCATTCCAAAAGGTACATAAATAGGTACATACAAGATACAGTGTAGATGGAAGACAATGCCAGATGGGAAGGCACCTGCAACTGGAGACCCCCCCCAGAAGGTTGAATTGGAGCGGGATGTTAAAGGAAGCCAGGAAACTGAGAGGTGGAAGTGAGGAGGGAGAGTATTCTAGGCATGAAAATAGTGCATGGAGACTGTCATGTTTGAGAAATGCAAGTAGGCCAGTACTAGACTGTAGAGTACATGGAAGGGAGTGAGGTGTTAAAACACAGTAAATACAGGAAGGGGCCAAGTTGAGAATGCCCAACGGAGAGTTTCTAGGCATGAAGATAGTGCATGGAGAGTGTCATGTTTGAGAAATGAAAGTAGGCCAGTGTGTCTAGACTATAGAGTGCATGGAGGGGAGTGAGGTGTTAGAACATAGTAAATGAAGGAAGGGGTCAAGTTGAGAATGCCCAAGTTTAAATGCCCAACGGAGGAGTTTCTATTTGATTCCAGGAGCAGTAGAGAGCTACTGGAGCTTATTAAGTAGGAAGTGGTGGTGACATGGAGAGACTCATACTTTAGGAAAATCATTTTGGCAGTTCTGTGGAAGATGGATTAGAAACTTGAGGGAGACAGGCCAATTGAGACTGTTGCTTTACTCCAGGTGACAGACAATGAAAGCCTAAACTGGGTGGTGGCTCTGTGAATAGAAGAAGGAACCAATCCAAGAGATGTGGTGGAGAAAGAAATGACCAGATTTGTTTGATGAGATTGAATATGTGGAGTGAATGAGAATAAGAAGTTAAGGATGACACTGATGTTGTGAGTCCAGGTGACTGGAAGGATGGTGGTACCCTAGACAGTAACAGGGAAGTTCAGAAGAGGTGGGGTTTGCAGAGAATAATGAGTTCTGGTTTGAGTTTGATACCTCAATACCTTGATTTCCTTGTCTAAGGGATTTTCTTATCTAAGGAGAAGTATATTTTCTCATAACCTTCTAGAGATGGGAAAGTGTTTCAGATGATACTGAAAAAGAAACTTGTGAAGCATATGTTTAATTATTATTAACAAAGACTTCCTTATTAACAAAAGAGATCTTACCAATGGAGAAGACATTCTCAAAAGAGGATATTTATATTTCAGAAAGATTTCCCACTTTCCCTGGGTTTATAGGACTACCAAGCTAAGAACTTTTAGAGATCCTCAGTGGAAGGAATCAAGTCAACAAGCACTTAAGGACCTTCTCTGTGCCAGGCACTGAGCTAAATGCTAAGTATACAAAGAAGGACAAAAAACAAAAACAAAACAAAAAACAAAGCACTCAGTCTAACTAGGAGACAACATTCAAGCAAGTATGTATAAACAAGAATATATTGGGTAAATTGGAGATAATCTCAGAGGGAAGGAACTAAGATTAAGAACAGGGGAAAAGCTTCTCTTAGAATATGGGACTTGAGCTGAGACCTGAAGGAAACTAGGAAGATCTAGGAAGTTGGAAGCTAGGAAGTAGAAATGTGGAGGGAGAGAATTCCAAACATGGGGGACAGCCATTGAAAATGCTTAGGTCCTCCTCCTCCTCTTCCTCCTCATCACCACCATCATTTTCTTCCTGTTGCTTATGTTTCTGCTGCTTATCTCCTGCCTCCCCACCAGTTTTTTTGGGGCAGACCATCCCCGTGCCTCTTTTGTAAAGCAGTGGCTGAGAAGAACCCTGGACTCACCAAAAAGCAGAAGGAAGGAGTCAAGACTGAAAATGATGACCACATTAATTTGAAGGTAGCAGTGCAAGATGCTTCGGTGGTGCAATTTAAGATGAAGAGGCACACATCACTTGGTAAACTAATGAAAGCCTATTGTGAACCCCAGGGTTTGTCAATGAGGCAGATCAGATTCTGATTTGATGGGCAACCAATCAATGAAACAGACACACCTGTGAAGTTGGACATGGAGGATGAAGATACAATTGATGTATTCCAGAATCAGACAGGAGGCGCTTACTAAAAAGAGAATCTGCAACTGTACTCCAGAACTGGGCTCCCAAGGAAAACAACACATTCACAATTAGAAAACCAAGATTTGGTTCATCCACATCTTCACTATTGCAGTATAGTTTTCTCTCTTCTTTGATTCTCTTCCCCCATTCCTTTATTGTACATAAAATGACTCTATGTGTGTACAGGCATAATGTTTGTGTGTGTGTGTGTCTCATTAAGCTAAATGGCTGTGGTATGTTTTGATTAACATCAAATGCAGATGGGGAGGGGAAAAACACACAGGTTCTGTGAAAATATCCCTTTTCTCCATTAGTGGCATGGTCATTCAACTTTTATCTTTATATTCCCAGTAGGTTATTTTGTTCCCACTGTTTAACAACAACAATAACAAAAAAGACCCCACAAAAATCCTTGCATACTTTGTTTGATTGGATAATTTCAATGTTTTTCTTTTATCATTGTAAAACCCAAGAGGATTTATAACTTTTTTTGTATGTAGCTGTTACATGTAGGGCAATCTCTCTCTCTCTCTAAGTAGGAATACAGTACTATGAAGAAACTGATCCTAGATCGTTTTTCCTTCAAGTCAAACATCATGTTATTTAGATAAACTTCTTGTTTAAGATAAAAAAAAATGCTTAGAGCTGGGAGATGGAGTGTCACGTCTAATGAACAGCAAAGAAGTCAGTGTCACCAGATTGCAGGGTGTGGGGATGGAGGGTGGGTCAGAAGAGAAAGTAAGGTCGAAGAAGATTGGAAAGGTAGGAAAAAACCAGGTTATATAAAACTTAAATAGCCAAGCAGAGGATTTTATATTTGAGCTTATAGGCAATAGGGAATGGCTAGAATTGATTGAATAGGGGGTGGGACAGGGTGGGACATGATCAGAAGAAATACTGTAATAAAGATAGCAGGATTCTTCATGGCTCTTTTAACTAGCTATGTGGCCTTGGGCAGGACTCAGTAAAATCAGGGAACTGGGACGGATAATCTGTAGGGTTCTATCCTTTTCTCAAAACCAGTCATTCAAATTTGTTAAATTGGTGACTTGAGCTGCCCTATTCCCATTCTTCAGAGAGATTCTAAACTGCCATTTCCTCTTTAAACTCTAACTAGAAAAATCGAAAGTTACCTTCAACCTTATCTGAGTCCTTCACTTCTTTGACTACCAAATTTTCATCTTTTTTTCTTCTTATGACTTCACCCAAGAATATGAGGGAAAGAGGGAGGTGAAAGAGTGAGAAGAGTCAAAGAATGGCTGATTTTGGGAATCTGAGTGACTGGGATGATGATGGTCTCATCATCAGAAAAAGGGAAGTTTAGAGGACAGATAGATTTTTGGAGGAGGAGAAGACAACCAGAAGAACATGATGAGTTCTGTTTTGAGTATGCAGAGTTTGAGGTGCTAATGGAGATAGTGATGTCTCATAGGCAGTAGGCTGTGTAATGCCAGAATTCAGGAGAGAAAGATCTACAGCTGAAAGAAACCCTAGAGATGAGCTAGTCTGGGCCTCTCATTTTATAGATGGGTAAACAGACCCTGTCTTCAGTACACTGAAATAAAGTGACTTATTCCATTCCTTTCCAAGAGGATTGCCTCATTTTAGCGTGCTTCCACAGGCATTTGCTATCAATGATGTGTCTGAGAGAATATATATGTACATATATATATGTACATATGCGGTTATTGTTTTTCATTTGATTAGTCATATCAAACTCTTCATAACCCCATTTGGGATTTTCTTGGCAAAGATACTGGAGTGGTTTGCCATTTCCTTCTTTAGCTCATTTTACAGATAAGGAAACTGAGGCAAACAGAGCTAAGTCCAGGGTTGCATAGCTAGTAAGGGTCTGAGGCTAGATTTGAACTCAGGTTCTCCTGACTGCAGGGCTAGCATTCTATCCACTGTGCCACCTATTCCTTCTCTTGACCTAGGTTTAGAACTCATTTGAATCAAACCCAGTTTTAGATGCTCTATCACCTAGTCCATTCAGCTGTCAAAAGCACTGGGTGGGTGGAATTTAGTGGCAAGAAAGAGATGAGATCATTTAATGCCGATAGCATCTGAATGAACACACTTTTACATCATGACTTCAAGGATCTGTAATTTCACACATGTGGGTACTCATACAAATGCAGACAACAGCCCCCTCCATGCCTTAATGAGTTGTTATAGCAAAAAACCAAACCAAACCAAAACAAAAAAAAAAAAAACTTCAAAAAACAAAACCCTGCATTGCCTGGTGACCAACCAGAGCTAGAAAGACTCTATAAGGAAAACCTCAGATTTAATGTAGCTGGTCAAGAAGAGTTTCTTTTCACTCAGAAGCTATTGATGACTTCTTCAAACTTAGGCTGGAACTTGGATGACAGATTTACTGACACATGGGCCATTGTCAGGCCTGTATTTTTACCAGGATGTGTGGTATCTGGCATTGCCTTTGAGAACCTAGTGTCACTTCAGTGTCATGGCCAGACACAAGACTAAAGTGCCTATTACGTATAATGTACCTCGCTAAGCACTGGAAATACCAAGGTGAAATAAAACATAGTTCCTGCCCTCCAGGAACTGACTTGCTTAAGAATTCTGAATAATAAACCCAACCCATGGCTCTTTTTAGGGTCCTTATTCCTATCTATATCATCATCTTAGATCCATTAGTGATGGCCACTGGATTATTGTATTGCAGCCACTAAGGAGTTGAGGACTGGTCTTGTGATTTCAGTGGAATGGGGAACCGTCTGGAAAGAAAACTCTCTCTACTTAACTAGGTCAGCAACTTCTTCGAAATTTACAGCCTTAGTGAGTTGCCCAGTTGACTGAGAGATTAAGTGATTTGTCCAAGATCACACAGCCAGCATGTCAGAGATGGGCCTTGAACTCATGTCATTCTGGTTCTGAGGCTGCTAGGTGGTGCAGTGAATAGAGTGCTGGGTGTAGAGTCAGGAAGACCTGAGTTCAAATGTGACCACAGACCCTTATTAGTTGTGTGATTCTGGGCAAGTTACTTAGCTTCAGTCTTACTGAGTTTCCTCAACCTAAAATGGGGATCATAAGTACCTACCTCCTAGGGGTGTTATGAGGATCAAATGATATACTATTAATAAAGTGCTTAACACTGTGCCTGACATATAGAGGGCACTTGATAAATGTTCTCCCTCCCCTTCTCAATCCACTGTAAGTGAAACTTCTACTGTACTGAGGACAAAAATTGAAACGTGTGTACCCACTTGGCTCATCAGTTAAAGAAATTAGTCAAAAGGTCTAAAATAGTTAAAGACTGAAAGGCTTATATAATTTCTGTTTTTATTTGTATGTGCTGATAATCTGGGTCTTTATGTGTTTGGGGCAGATATACTGTTGTTCCCTTCTTTAGTAAAACAAAAAGGCAGAAGGGGGAAGCCCAACTCCCCCACTTTACAGATAAAACAAGCCCAGGGAGGTTAGAGGGTTCCTTAGCATAAGAAGAAGGGTGAATAGAAACTTTTTTCTAGTTTAAAATATTCAGAATTTCTCCTGAATTCACTTTATGTCTGGGTGGTTCCTCTGAACTTTATTTCTATACTCTACTGTTGAAGCTGTGTTATTTTTCCATAATCCTCCTTTCCCAAGAGCCAAGTTCTCCAACAGCTTTAGCCTCCAACCTCCCTGAACCACTTGTATTCCATCTTCAGCCTTCCTTTGATTTTATTGGCACTATGCTGTTTCATGCAATATAGTGGCCATCACCCTATTACATGGTGTATTTTTTCCTGCTTCTCTCTCATGTCTTCCTTACTCCTCTTCCCCGTTTACTTTCCTCTAGGCCTTTTTGCTGTATTAGGTACTACTGACCCAAAGTTAAGTAATCTTCTCTCTCCCAAAAGAGAACCCTTTTTAAGCTTCTTTTTCTCCCTTTCTGCCCCAACCCTCCCTATTTTGCAGTTGATTGTTCCCTTTTCCCCCTGTCCCAGTCCTGTCCACTCTGTCCTTTCCTACTTATCCCACTGTGCCTGCACTGCCTCCTTTGTTTTTGCCTCTATGCCCATGCTCCTAGCTGTCTGGTGTTTACCCACTGGGTTTTATGACTCTTAACATTCTTTTTCTGCTTGGCCCTGTGGGACTAGTGCCAGCCAAACCCATCATTCAGGGTCTTTAAGCCTGATGGGCGGAGTTCTCGCAATTGGGTTTATTTCTTTTAGCTCATTGTACTTTCTTCCAGCATTCCAGGGTAGGGGGTAGGAAGAGGGGGAACAGAGAGGAAAGTAGCAAATTGTTTCTCTCCTCTTCATCCCATAGTTGTTAGACAGTTTCCATTTGTGTGTGTGTGTGTGTGTGTGTGTGTGTGTGTGTTCTACCATTATTTCTGTTGTGTGGGGACTCAGCCTCTGGCCTAAATGCTTCACACTTCCTCTTCACAGTTGAGAATCCATTTTACAGATGTGTTTCTCCCTAGGAACCCACAGGTTCCTCTTTTGTCTCTTCTGGTGTCCCTGAACCTATTCAGAGTGTTATAGAGTGAAGAAGAATGATTCTTCTACCAGTCATGAGGAGGCACATTCAGTAACTTTCTTGGGCATCAGTTTCCTCCTCTGTAAAATGAAGGGGGGTATTAGATGGTATCTGTGGTTCCTTCAGCTCTAGTTATATGATTTGACTAGAGTAAAGCTGGGCATTCTGATCTCACTTTAATCATGGCATAACTCAGCTTTTCCAAACCCAGGTTTCTGTACTATAGTTTCCTTGTCCCACCCAGGCAACATCCTGTGCCTTGCCTTTCTGGGTAAGGTTTGGAAAGGGATAAGGACGATGGATGTGGATGCACAGAAAGCACTTTATGGGAAAGGTAATGCTGGTGGGCTTACTTCAGTAGGCTCCCCAGTAGCCAGGCCAGAGAGTGTAGGGGCTCTGGGGTGGAATGGGAGAGGTCAGGGTAAGTTAGGGTTGAACTCGGGCAGATAGAGGTCCTTAGGCCCCAGAGCCAGGGAGGCGAAAATAAAGGCCGAATTAACCCGAGTTAAGAAAG